CGCAGAGGACGCCAAACCTAGGCAAACGTCGGCCAGGAGCATCGCGCCTCATATCGCAACCACATCCAGAGTAACACAAACTGCAGAGGACGGTGAACGTCGGCCAGGAGCATCGTGCCTCATATGGCGACCACATCCAGAGTAACACGAACCGCAGAGGACGCCGAATGTCGGCCAGGAGCATCACGCCTCATATTGCAACCACCTTGAGAGTAACACAAACCACAGAGGACGCCGAACGTCGGCCAGGAGCATCGCACCTCATATCGCAACCACATCCAGAGTAACACAAACCGCAGAGGACGCCGAACGTCGGCGAGGAGCATCGCGCCTCATATCGCGACCACATCCAGAGTAACACAAACCGCAGAGGACGTCGAAGGTCGGCCAGGAGCATCGCGCCTCATATCGCGACCACATCCAGAGGGGAGGGGGGGGGGGCGGAGTTGTGCGTCCTTTGTGTGGTTGGATTCCTGGCCAAAAAAAAAAAAGATTCGCAAAAGTTCACAGCTGGTGCTGCGCTTTTACCTGGTCGTCTTCCTGGGGCAGGTGCGTGGTCTCCCGGGGTTGCAGGTGAATTGCGGCCGAACGTTGGCCAGGAGCATCGCGCCTCATATCGCGACCACATCCAGAGGGTGCGGGAAGGGGGGGGGCGGGGGGGGGGGGTTGCCTTTGGCCTGTATCTGGTCTGGTTTCTGGTCCGCGTTCGTTGTTTATTTAGTGTTGGGAATAGGGAGTTGCGCGTCCTTTGCGTGCTTGGATTCTTGGGCAAAAAAAAAGATTCGCAAAAGTTCACAGCTGGTCCTGCGCTTTTACCTGGTCGTCTTCCTGGGGCAGGTGCATGGTCTCGCGGGGTTGCACGTGAAATGCGGTTTTCTTATTTGCCGCTGAATTGTGACGATCTCGGGGTTTGTGTTGTCGGGTGTTTTCTGATGGCGGGGTCGTGGTGCTGGTATTGCGAAGGGCTTGCATTGGCCCTCCGTTGTGGGATTGCATTGGCCCTTCGTTGAGGTGGTTGTGGGACTGCGTTCTCTGCCTGGCAGTGAGCGTGGATTTGGACGTTGTGTGGGCCTGTTACCTTTGGAGCTGATCTGTTGTGGTGTGTCTGTTCCTGCTTGCCCGCATGTTGCTGTCCTTTTTTCTTGGTTGGGTTGTTCTGGCTGGTGTGCAATTCCCGGAAAGTTAAATTTGCGGTGGCATGTGTGCTTGCCGCTGTGGTCTTCCCTGTCGTTGTCCCGACGGGGGATAAACTTGGTTGGGTTAAATGTATTTGGGACTTTCCCTGTGTCTGCCCGAGGGACCTGGTTTTTCGTTGCTTGGGTTTTCTCTGGAGTGCGTTCTAGGTGGCCGAGCTTTGCGGTGCTCTGACGAAATTGGATTGTGCCTGGACAAATATCGCAACGAATAAACCAAAAAAAAAAAAAAAAAGAAAGAAAAGAAAAACTGGTCTTCTGACCTTTGCGGTGCGTGCGACGAAGGAATGATTGGGAACGGAATCAACTGGTGGGTAAACAAATTTGCCCCCGGGGAGGGGGTGGGGCGTGGGGGCGTAAACGAGAAAAAAAAAGGAAGAAAATAAAAATTTGGTCATTTGACGTTTGGGGTGGGTGCACTCACATGGAACTTATTTTGTTTTTCTCGGGCTGATCTCGCGCAGTGGATCTGAGTTGTTAGCCCTTATTAGCACTTATTGCCCAGCTGAGTCTTTTTTGGGGGCCAGGTGAGAGGTTCATATGTAGGTGGGGATAGGACTCGAGGGAGGATAATTCATCCCTTCCCAGGTGTTATCCTCTACGGTAAACTGACTGATGCTGTGAGCAGGTCTCTCCGGGTCGAATTGTCAGGACCCGTGCGATCTGTTGTTGTTTTTTTTTTTTTTTTTTTTTTTTTTTTTCCAAATCTATATTCTTCTCTCGATTTCAGCTCGCAGTACCTAGCTACCACTACCCCTAATTGTAGGGATACAGGGAAAACCCCGTAGCAGCCAGAACCGTGTTCACGAGAGAACATGCGGGGACTGCTGAGACCTGCAGGTCGGCGATACTGGCTAGGGGACAGCGGGTAGCATCAGGGACCATGCCAACAGGACAAATCCCGGTGCCTCCACTCAGGTCCCCTCCCCTGTGAACATCAGCAGACTCTGCTTAATGCCAATCGGGGGATACAGTGGTCTATCTCTAGGTGGCGGGCGCCAAGCATGTCCAGGAAGGTACATGAGGCCAGTGGGGATTCAACCCACGGCCTCCTGAATCCCACTTGGGACCCTTGTTAACTGCTCTAGGCCGCTGGATGGGATCTGGTTATCTTTGAAGCGATTTGTTACTGACGGGAAAAAAAAAAACAAATGGATTGGCAATTACAGTGACTGGGAAAAAAAAAAAAAAAGGAAACGAGAATTTTTACTGTTCTGACATTTGCGTCGGATACAGTGACTGAGGAGGAGGAAAAAAAAAAAAAAAGAAAGGAGAATTTTTACTCTTCTGACATTTGCGTTGGATGCAGTGACCGTAACAAAAGAATGATTAAAGATGGGATCCGATGGTGGCTAGACAAATATCCCCGGGGGAAAACCGGAAAAAAAAAAACAACGAAAATTTGAAGCCATCCTTATAGGCTTTTGACCACGTTTGCCGTCTATGGGACCCTGCAACCGGTTATAGGAATGTCGTGGTAGGGGCCCTTTTTCTTTCGAAGGATTGTGTCAACTTTCATATGCGGGTGGAAAGAGGACTCATGGAAAGATAATTCATGCCTTGGCACGAGTTATCCTCTACGGTAAATTTCGTCGTCTGATGGTCTCATTGCCCACGTTGGTCCTGTGCGAAATAATGTGCTCACCCTTTGCGTTGCTGCGGTGAGATTTGTTCGGTTGTATTGTGTATCCAGACCGGATCTTGGGGCAGGGATCAGATCCTCGGCGTGGCCATATGCTTCCTGGTTGTCATTGCTGTGTGTCGCTGGAGCCGAGGTCCTGGCCGTGGTCAAAGTCCTCTCCGCGCTCTTTTTGTAATATATGCACCGGTCTGTGATATCTTTTCTGCGCCAGCGGGGGCCTGTGGTAAGATGTTCCTTTGTCCCGACCTCTGCAAATTGTCAGGCTTTTTTTTTTTTTTTTTTTTTTCCTCTCTCGGTTGCTGATGTCAGAAGGAAATAACAACTGCGTGGGTTGTTTGCGTTTGTCTGTATGTCTAGGTGAATGTAGGTGAATGTTTTTACTGTGCGCATGCACTCCCAATAACTCGGTGTGTGTGTGGCTGTCTATGTCTGTGTATATATATACAGCCTCCTGATGAGTCGGTGAAACTCCGACGAAATAGTTTGTCACAGCCCCTCGTTTGTTGTCCTCTTCTCTCTCTCTGCCTACGGTTTTACCGGGCAGTTCTGTTTGTGACGATATATATGTATGTATGTATATATATATGTATGTATGTATATATATATGTATGTATGTATGTATATATGTATATGTATATGTGTATGTTGAATACGGGTCTTCAGTAGAGCATAGGCAGGTTTTCCTCTTCTCCTTGCTACGGTTAATTTGTGCCTGTGGTAGATAGTCGGGTGAAAGTGGACCCCGAGTATAAATCGATTTGTTCAGTGGACCGATAGTCATTGTAGCGGTTGTAGTTCAGGTTACCTCTTGCGTTAGTCTACTGTCACGCTACGCGTGCGGGTTTATTGCGCTCCGTTGCGTTGTTACCGAGACGTGCGCTTCGTCGTTACGAAGTATTGCGCTTGCTTACGTTGTTACCCACCGTTCTCGTCGTCGTTATGTGCTCCGTTTGTCGGCCCTGGTAGGCCTGGTGGCCGCTCGCTTCCTTCCATTGGTTTGCTCGCTCCGGATCGTCTTAGTTACTGGTGACCCTGCCCGATTGTAACTTCTTACCTTCGTTACTGCAGGCCGCCAGGTCGGGCTTCGTGTCCGTTATTCTTCCGTTCGAGGCTCGGTTGTGGGTTCTTAGCTTCCTTGCTGCACCCGGCCAGGTCGAGCTTCGTCTGTGGTGCTCTCTTGACAGGCTGGTCTTGCGGTCTTTTTGTGTTCGTTTGTCTCCTCCCTGGCCTGCAACTGCACGGCAGCTGGTCTTTGCTGCTTGCCGTGCTTATTCTTGGGCGGGCCATTGTGGTTGACC